GCCATCCCTAAACGCTAGATCTGCAGATCGACAGAGTACCAGGAGGAACTCTTTTGACGAAAGTGAGGCCGATCTGGATCCAGATCCAGATCTGGAAGAGAAACCTCATCCTCCACAGGTCTCCGCCAAGGAGGCCCCTGTGGATCGTGACTCGCGTCAAGATCCGCAAACAAAACAAACAAATGTGAAGGCTAAACCGTATTCATAAGACAACACTATATCTACCCAAGGACACGCGGGTCTCTGGATCCGAGTTCGGGAAGCCAAGATCCAAGACTGTGCGGAAGGAGATGAAAACGCCAGATGACGAGGAAGATGAAGATCACCCCAGATCTGGCTGGTCTGAAGAAAATCGTAAGTTCATGTATCACCGCAAGGAGCTACGGGACTTCGTGGACCAGGATCCAGTAATGCGGATCCTAAAGCTCAAGCGGATCACGGATCCAAAGGTCCCCGTGACTGCCCCCGTTACACGGACCAACAGATTTGATGCAGCGATGGAGCTGATTCGTCTGTTGAAGGAGGACGGTATGATCCTTCGACGCAGACGCACTTTTTGACTTGGATCATGATGTGATCCAAACTACAAGTCGCGATCTTTCCAGAAGCTGAAGATCCTAGTCGGCGAGGTGCCCCAGAGCCCGGATCCACTGCCATTGGCCACGGCCAACGCCGTCGATAACTTGACAGTGTCATCACACTATGCGTCAGCCGCGGAAGAGGGATCGTACACTTCCTCAGCGCCACCGCGTCGGATGTCCCTAGGACCCTCTGGAGCATCAATGCTGGAGGCGAGATCCAAGATCTGCCGCTCTAGCCCGGTTAAAAGAAGTCGTCTCGATAATGGACCCGCACCGACGGATCAAGTCACAACCACCGAGAGCTCAGATCGATCAGTCGGTACCCTGCAGAAGTTCTTCGATGCTGTAATGGACCGATACCTTCGGATCCAGCAAGTACCGACAGAGGCCAACCAACGCTACCTCTTCCGCTCCAGCAAAACAAGTGCGCGCAATCCAGATCCAAGCTAGCGACGCTGGATCCAGCAGTGAGTCTGGCAGATCGGGCGGATCGGACTCATACATCGACAGCCGTTGCAGGATCTTATTTGTAGTGAATAAAGATGTCACCCCGAAGGTGGAGAAAAAGTCGGCGAACCCAGATCCACGACTTCTGGACCGTGATCATGGCCATCAAGATCACAACATGAAGATCCACGGCAATGGTTTTAACCGTGATCGGTGCTCACACTGTGGATCCAGAAAACACTCGGGTCTTGGATGCTGAACGCGGGTTACGTGCACGAAGTGTGACAAGAGAGGACATCCCTCGGATCACTGCCTCTTCGTGTGTCGTGGATGGGAAGAACTGCATGACATGGGAAAATGTCCGATGGAAGAGTTCTATAACCAGATCCGCCAGTGGTTTAACCCCACGAAGCACATGGGTATGTTACCCGAAGCTGCTGAGAAGATGTTAAACTAGGACGCTCGTCGGGGTGGAATCCGATACGAGCCGAGCGTTCTAGATACTGCATCTATGCATTTGTGAACAAGACATCGGTAGATCAGGTTAGTAAACGGCCAGATCTACACGGTAATACATGTGATCTGCATGGGACACGCACCTTCGCAATTTCAATTCGACGTTAAGTCGACCAATATGCCAGATCCGAAGTCACCATAAGCGTGGGTCTCCGTCCAACCAGGAGAATCACGAGGTTATAGGAGACAGCAAGATCCAGATCTATGGTTTAAACCTACAGATCACGAGGTTACTTCGGAGATCAAGAGGCCTAGCAAGATCTCGGAGTACTGACGGTCAACAACCATGGATCTACTACCGGGAGAGCCTCGTGGTTACTGAAATCATCATTCACCAGGTAAATGGTTTCGTCAAGCGAAGATCCCAGACAAGATCCACAATGAGAAAGCGATCTTACTCCTAGATATCGGCGCCGAGGTGTCCATCGTGGACACTGCCTTTGCTCGTAAGATTGGATGCTATATCGACTCGAGTCAGATCCAGGACTGTGTGGGAATTGGTGATAATGTGTACCAGACGGAAGGAAGAACCCGGATCAAGGTGACTCCCGCTGGATCGCTGGTATATTTCTTTGATATCTGGGTAGGTGATCTGACGGACCAAAAAATCTATACTTGGTATGGACGTTATGGTTCCATCCTGGATCCGCTTAGATCTAGCCCATGGATCGATCAGTCTGCCGGATGAAGCCAGGATCCAGCTTAGCGGGAGGCGGTAGCTTTATAGCGATAAGGCGAAGATCGTTAACGTCGGCGAATACCTTCGGATCCAAGCAGTAGAGTCGGTGGAGCTGTCATTGAGGCTTAGGTCGTCGATCCACGACAAGCTGTGGGTTACGCGGACATCAATGGTTGCCGACGAAATACGGCGGACCAGGCAGGACGAAATATATATCGATCACCAACATAGGGGACGAGGTGTTGATCCTGCATCAAGACCAACGGATCGGGATCTAGCTGTCCGGAGACCATGTGCCACGGATACCGGGTTTCATATCGATCGGCTCTCGTTGTTACATGAAGTGGCAGAATCTGGCGTTGGAAGCTACGACAGACACCCGATCCGAAGAAGTGGAGGGCAAGATCCCGCTGGTGCCCATGGTGGAGCGGCCCGAGTACGAAGCTCCGCGCGCAATACTCCAAAGACCGAAGACGAGGTTGATCCAGTGTCGGAAGGTCGAGACGAGTCAGGATCAAGAAATGCCTGACTGCCTACCTTCGGACAAGTCGCCGTCGGACAAGTCGCCGTCGGGCAAGTCGCCGTCGGAGATTCGACCGTTGGATCTAGTGTCTGTCGAAAGCGAGGAGTCGGATCTGTCGTCTATCGCAGACGAAGACCCTATATCGCATGCTGTAACGGTCAAAGAGGCACTAGAAGATTTCGATCAAGTGACGTCAGATGTGTGGGCGACTGATCCGTCGCTGGAGTAAACTACAGGCGTAGTGGAAACGCGAGAAGAGGACGGCCGAGACGGAATTGGGGTTGCCAGTCAGGATCAACTACATTCGAGAGGTCAAGATCAAGGAATATCGCCGTCGAAATGTGGCGGATCGGACCCACCATCTACAAGCTGGGAAGGGACCTGTGACGAGTGGTCCGTTGAACGACAAGGGCGCCGCATCTATGTCGCAAAAAACGGACATCGATCCAACACCTGTTGTTGAAGATCGACCAGGCGCATCGGATCTGGACGTCACCTGGGGTTCAGATCAAGATTATGATGAATGTGTATACTACCATGAAGGAAGTGATCTGTACGCGGAAGATGTCGACGGTCAGATGGCGGTACTGCCAGAAGTGCCCATGACGACGGAAGGTGTGAAAATCGAGGACATTCAGCTATGTGGATCTGATAATCAGACCCCAGAAGAGATTTTTCGACTTCGCCAAAAGATCTGGAAGTTCCGACATCTCTTGATCGGCAAGGGGAATGCCCTTCCGCCGACTGCCAGTGGTGTGGTGTGCGATATCGACGTCGGAGGAGCGAGGCCTATCGCCCTGAAGTGCCGTAAGTTGCGGATCCAGTTCAGGGAGAAGCTGGCCGACTTGATCAAGGGTCTATTGTCCGCCAAGAAGATCAACTACTCTAGATCACCATGGGCTTCCCCGATCGTGGTGATCATGAAGAAGAATGGAGTGGATATCAGGTTGTGTATCGATTATCGGCTGGTTAACAGCTTGACTCAGCTAATGATCTACCCAATGTCCTTGATCAACGACCTATTTGAAGATTTGGAGTCGACATTTTGGTACTGTTCTTTGGATATGGCGAGTGGATTTTGGGTAGTGAAAATGACGGATCGAGCTCGATTGATCTCGGCTTTTATTACTATTTGAGTGGAACCGAATGCCTTTCGGTTTGAAGAATGCGCCCCAGATTTATCAACGTATGGTCAACAACGCGCTATATGGATTCACCAGGATCCCGAAGTCTGAAGCCCATGGAAGTGCTCTAGATCTGTTTGAGAATGTGGAACCGGTGGATCCAGGCAAGCAATCCGTGCTTGGTCGCAGATCATATATCGATGACATCCTGATCCCGCCAACGACTGGGATCAACTATGTGATCGAGTCGAAGGTTTACTCGAAGCGTGTGATGAGTGGAATCTGTCGATCAGTGTGGTTAAGAGTTTCTGGGGAATGCCTAAGGTGGAATATCTCGGGGATAGGGTCTCGCACAATGGGCCGGAGGCGAATCCGAAGGATCTGTCTGCGTTGACTGATCTAGCATTTCCAGGATCACTCAGAGCTATGCAATCGTTTTTGGGGAGTCTGAACTATTATAGCCGATTTATCGAAGACTACGTGATCTACGCGTCGGTTAATTGCGATCGAATTGCGGGATATTGCCTTTGTTGCAATGATAAAGGAGGCTACCCAAGCGCGGATCCAACAAGTACTGAAATGGAGAACGTGGATCAAGGAACGCAGGAAGATTAGAGTGTCGACCACCATAAGACCTTGGATCTGAAGGCGCCAGATCCGCGTTGGATCCATGCCCATCGCTCCTTCAGTGTGCTTAAAACCAGGATCGCTACAACTCCGATCTTACGACACTTTGACCCAAATGGGAAGGCCACCGTTGTGGTGTATGCTAGCGATTGGGTCATTTTGGGATCATTGATGCAGGAATACGACCAGATCTACTACCCCGTGATGTTTGCAAGCCGCACTCTGAAGTAGAATGAGCTAAACTATGGCATCGCGAAGAAGGAGGTATTATCCCTCCTGAGGATACTGGATCTTAACTACAATGCACTGGTCGGATGCCCGATGCCCGACACTCAACATTGGCGTGGCTCTTCAGATCCACGGCCCTGCAGGGACGTCTGCCACAGTGGGCTGCTCTGTTGTCGCGCTGGACTCTTGAGATCCCCAAGTGTGTCAAAGGAGAGGATGAAATCTTAGGAGCACTGGCAGCCAGTATTACCCCTAGATCCGAAGTGGATAAGGCATTGATCTCAATTTCCCCCAAAAAGGAACCAATATGTAAGATCCAAGCTCCGATCCCCGCTTTCAGACCAGATGAGGAGCTATATGTCGTCAGTTTCGATGGATCGGCCCGTGTCAAGAGAGGTGGAGGCGCCTACAGCGCGATCTTGTGGAAGCTGCCCGAATGGAGAGTGCTGAAAGCTAGATCAGGGTATGCCAAAGGCTTGACAGTGAATGAGACGGAATACCATGGGCTGTTACTATGTCTGGATCTGTTGGAGGATTTGGATCCATGGCGTCTGGTGATCTGTGGAGACTCAAATCTGGTGATCAGACAAGTACGAGGAGAGATCGATTGTAAGGCGCCGGGTCTGACACTGTTACGTCAGCGAGCCCTGGATCGACTACATACGTGGCCAGATCATGAACTAATACACGTCAAACGCGACTGGAACGGGAGTGCTGACAGCCTAGCAGACGCTGCTCTACAACGGGAATGATATAGTCTGACATGGAGATCCAGGATCTCATAACTTTAAATCGGTTGGACGAGATCCTGATAGTGAAAGCCGAAGACGAGATCGCACAGATATCAGCTGTGTTGACCCGATCTAAAGCTAGATCTGGTGTGCGTTTTGGATCTGATCCAAACTCCCTACGAGAGGAAGACGTGAGAGAGCTACGGATCGAGCGGATCCGGCAAGCGCAGAATGAGGAGCCGTGGATCTCGGGTCTGAAGAAATATTTGGTTGGAGAAGTCCGGGATCTGACACAAGAGGTTGCCAAAGTGTTTGGATCGATCGCTATGAATTACGAAGTGGATCAGTCGGATCTACTCTTTTACTGCCCGGCAACTAAAGAGGAAGCCGCAGAGCGAGACACGTTGGTGAGACTAGTGATACCCGAGACACCCCAACAGGACCTTTTCCAGCACTATCATACGAGCTTGCAGGGTGGCCATCAAGGAATTGGCCGGAATTATGATCGGATCCGCGATTACTTCCACTGGAGAGGGTTGTACAAGCGTGTACAACGATATGTGGGAGAATGTGTTGGTTGTGAAACAGGCAAAGGACGACCTCGGATCCAGGGTGAGTCACCTGGTAATCTTCAGGCGACACACCATTCCAGATCATTGCCATGGATCACATACATTCGTTGCCTAGATCCTTCAATGGCAACACCAAGTTATTGATCTTCGTGGATCTATTCTCGGGATAGGTGATCACCAAAGCCAGCGCCTCTAGATCCGCTCAAACGATCGCTGAGACCTACGAGGGATGTGTCTTCCGTAGATTTGGTGCGAGCGAGGTGGTTTGGCATGATCAGTAGCCAGGCTTTATGTCTGACTTCTTTAAATCCTTCAACAAGATCTTGGGACAACCTCAACGTGCTACTATGACTTATCGACCCCACGCTAATGGATCCGCATAGCGTATGGTCCAGACAACTACCAGGGCTCTTAAGATGTATGTGCAGGATCTGGATCAACGAGACTGGGACGAATACGCTGAACGGCTTACCTTCGCGATCAACACTGCAAGAGATCGGATCCGGGGTGAAACCCCTTTCTACATGATACATGGTTGGGATTTTAGATCCACCTTGGAAGCGGTGATCCCGGTGGGGAACACTCGCATACATGATCGAGATCCAAGAAGATGGCGGTACCAGATGCAAAGGTACGATCAACAAGCTCGAGAACAAGTAAATCAATCTTTACGCGAAGCGATCGCGGATCGGGCCGGCACACACAATGATCTAGTACGTCCCCGTCCTGTAGAGTCTGGACCAAGAGTCTGGTTATACCTAGATCGAGTGCGTGAGGGATATGCGAAAAAACTGGCGCACCTATGGCATGGGCCATTTCGGGTCGCTGAGAAGATCGGAGAATATGCAGTGAGGCTGGAGATTGCAGGATCAACGTATATCATCTTTCCCTTAGTACATGTATCGAAGATTAAACTGCTTAAGATATTACCAGATCGACCAATAGCTCGTCTAAATGAGGAGGAAGGAGATCGGGTGAACTTCGACGAGGCTCTCCTACCTGAAGACAGCTGGATCCAGATGAATACGAAGTCGAGCGAATTTTCCGATATGAGGACTAGCAAGAGGCCTAGATATGGACGGATCTACCGAGAATTTCTGGTACACTGGCGCGGAAATGAAGATCCAACCTGGGTAGATGAGGCAGATCTCAACTGCGGTGCTCTTCTCTATGAGTTCTTGCGAGATCGCACCAATCGCAACCGTTTTGGTGTGATGCAATTTCACGAGTAACCGTGAGATCTGGATCCACAACGGTGAGTTGGTCACTGGTGTGGTTGAATTTTGATGGATCTGCAAGGAGGTTGCAGATCGGAGGACAGGGTTGATGTGACTTTGTATATGATGACATGTTGATATAGGATCGAAGTGGAAAGATATTGATTTGGAGATAGATACGGAGTGAGCGGGAACAAATTTCAATTGTGGATCTAAGACTGTATTATCTGAAGAATTGTAGAGCAAACGGTGAACGACAAGTGTGGGGTATTAGAGTGGAGATATGTGTGGATTAACCTGGTTGAGGACTTAGCGAAATCAAAGAACATTGACGAATCTAGATCGGAGAGAAAGATGACATGTATTACGGTTGTTGAAGTTGATCTGGAAGACATATAGGGAGAGGTGTCAGGATCACGCCTGAGGAGGAAGAGGCGGCGCGTTGGGGTTCAGAGCTGCCATGCTGAAAAAATACCGGCGAGACGCGCGATCCGGGGAGCGGGATGGCCCGCAAGGTGCAGACGGTAGTGAGTACACCAGGATCTGCGGCGTCACACTCAGCAAGAGCCTCGATCAGATCTGCAGGCTCGCGACGGTGCAGTTGCGGATCCGTGAGGTTGGCACTGCGAGCCTCGACCCCGGGATACCAAGCCACTTCATCCGTTCGCTTGGGAAAATGGAGAAAATAGGGATCCAACAGCAGTTCTAGATCACACCAGCCCTCACGCATGACGATCAAGAACGGTCGCAGGATTTGCTTCCACCTAGCGCCAGCGTGAGATCGACGAAGAGCGCCAGGTTTGGGTCGCTACGGATCAACGCCGGCGAAACTGTAAAGCGATGCGTCGATTCCCAGTAAGCGATCAGATCCTGGAACTCGACAACGGAATACCTCTCGATCAAGAATCCCAAGCAACCATCGACTGTGATCTCGAACGACATGGGCTCTGGGATGTTGGCGCCAGTAAGTATATTCCAAGGAAGAGCAGCCATGAGCTCGCGGACGTTCTGGCCCGTGATCAAGTGGCTGCAGTATTGATCCGGTCTTGGAGTAGGCGTTCGAGGCACGTGACTGGGGAAGATCCACTCAGGGCGAAACGTCAACGCACGTGACAGCACTTCTAGGGTCATGGTCATGATCGTAAGGGTATTAATCCTCTGGATCACCCATGGATCCACGTCAGCGATGTTATACTGACGAGTCTGCTGGCGACCGGGAATACACCAATGATCGGGAGCAAAATGACGGTGCAGGAGCATCTTGAAAACGAGAGGCACTCCAGCCGGATCCACAGGAGATACATCACCACCACCACCACTACCGTGACTTGAGACGTCGCCATCAGAGTCGCCGCCCGATCCAGGATCTCTTGCTCCTCCGACCCCGGTACGGTGAGGAGCAGCACGATCACGGCGCCTCTGCTCGAATCTCGATCGAGAAAGAGCCAAGAGTGTTTAAGCCTGCAACATGTCATTCAGGGTGACGTCATCATCGCCGTCGGCTGACGTGTCGGCCTTTAATCCTTGATCTTCCTCTTCTAGATCCACGTGCTTGGAGGGTTTAGAATTATCAGTCGACCGAGGTTTGGACTTCGCTTTGGGCTTGAAGGCAGGGTCCGAGCTTGCGTGGACATCAGATTTCTGGGATCCCGCCCTGTCATAAGACAAGTAGCGTGGTTCAGGGGTCGGTACAGGAGTTGCTGCTCCACGATCTTTCTCCAAACGTTCGTCAAGTAAAGGGTGGTCGGGATCCAGTGTCTCCTTAACATCTGAACATGTCATAATCATCTTGATCTTCCTCACGATCCAGCTCCTTCTTGCGGTCTTCGGTCATCGGAGTGTTTCTCTTTGAGGGACGATGTGCATCGCGAGAAGGAGAAGGACCACGAGATCTCTTCCCCGGAGGAAGCCTTGACGCTTGTCAGTGGAGGAAGAACCATCAGACTCATTGGGCGTGGGCGTGTAGTCAGGATCACGGTCGGGTTGGTCGGGATCCGATTTGTCTAGCTCCGAATTCCCTTGATCCGACATGTTTTGATCTGAGTTTTTTTGGCTCGGCTTGTCTTGATCCGACGTATCCTGCTCCCCATTATTTGAGCTCGGCTTGTCTTGATCCAGGCTCTCTTGATCTTGCTTCCCTTGATCTGGCTGCCCTTGATCTCTGGGAGGACTATCGAGACAAAGTTTGGTAGTGGGAGGTCTTGATCCCATCCCGGCAGCCACGGTAGACAACATCTCAAGCGCCTTCCGTAGCTCGCGCCGCAGGTCCGTACGCTCTCAATCAAGGTGGGCCAGTCGACGATTTAGCGTCAAGATCTGGGCCTATTGCTCCGTGTCGACCGTTCCGCGTCAGCGTATGGGGTCCGAGTCACAGTGCCATCATGTTCTGCGGAAAAGAAAAGGATACTATATTAGCGAGATGGTATGCGTACTCAGATCTTCGCACGCGTCGCGATATCCCTTGTCGCGCTTGGCCGCCAGTGAGATTGACGCGCAGGACCTCACAGCGTGACTTCTCCCGCTTGAACTCCATAGTTCTCTCTTGGATCTGACCCTGAAGTGCATCCGCCTCACGATCCTTAGCCTGGACTTGCGCGTTCAATGTATCGCGCTCAGCCGAGACTTGTGACACGATGTCGGTGAAAACGTTTCGTGTAGGAGATGTATAGCGTAGCCATAATCGGAAAGCCACCCAGGATCTAGGGACCTCCAGAATTTGGATACCTAGGATGAAAAGTCACCCTGGATGGACGTGTGTCCTTATGATATCCCTGTTGGTTCGATTGATTCGGCGGAACGGTTATTTCACCGGGGAGTTGTCCAGGATAAATGTATTCCAGGATGTGGGGTACTGCCGACAATTCAGGATCGGGCACTGGTCACAACTGGGGAGAGGTTAGTAGAACACGAGGAAGGCCTCAACCTAGACTAACCTAAATATGCAGAGTTCATTATACGTCATCAATTATATAACCGTTCTTATTCTTTCGGACCCTTGAACGGTAGGTCTTCTCACCCGTCTCATTTAGAGTAACACATGGTCAATCCTGGACGCACTCTTTCTCACGCGCACCACCCTGAATTACACGGACTTCTTATCAATCAAATACACTTCCTTTCACTTCTTAGTAATTC